AAAAGTTATTATTAAATTTGGGTTTGCAATGTCAGGCCCAGCTCAAATCACGTCACTTTGTTTCTTGATTTTTGATGACTTCTCCTGAGGCAAATAGAATAGTAAATTTTTTTTGAAATATTATTTGGGATTAAAATCAGGCTAGAATGGTTAAATCAAACATTGTAATTCTTAGTATTAAATAGGTTAATTCCTAGTCAAGTTCGATATCATCATCTAGAATTGAGTCAAAATGCGTTAGAGATTTGAATTTGATAATTGATTCATATAGCTAAAATAGATTCGTTGGCGGTCAGAAACCCTTTCTGGATATCTTTTAGATTTTTGTCCCAGAACCCTTCTTTTGCTCCTACTCAAATCTAATAATTCAAATTTGATCCGATTGGTTCCCTATTTGTTATTATTTAACTAGTGCTAGCTAATTAAATTCATGTACTTTCAATTTATGTATTAACTATATTCAATTTAGTATATTAAATCATAAATAATTGGTTAATAATAAAGAACATCAAAATTACATCTATCAGAATTGAATAGACCTATTATATAACATAAAAAAATATAAATTATTACTAAATAGATAAATTATATACAAATAAGATAATTAAAAAAAATTAATATAATTTTTTTATTTAATAATAAATTTATTAATTTTATTAATTTTGTGTATATAATTTTTTAACTTAGATTTTACACTATTATAAAGTTGTAGAATATTACTTTAAATGTATTTAGATACATTTTTTAATTTTAAATATTTTGATAAGGTATATGAAATATATGAAATCATATTCAAAATCTATCCTTAAATTGTTCAATTACCTAACACTAATTTAAATATTTATTTTACAAATATTATGATATACATAAGTATTTTAAGTATTTATGTATTTTTTATAAAATTTTTGAAGAATTACAAAAAATAATATTATTTGATTCGATTTATAAATTTATATGGTATGATATTTTTATAAACCAATCATAAAATTCAACTTCGATACATCCCTCCGTAAATCTACGATCTGCATTAGATTTGCCGTAATCATCCGTACATCTTGTGTAACTTACTCAATTAAAAAAAAATTTCATTTTTTTTTTTTTTAAGTACGAGTTGTTTCCTGTTTCCCAAACCACTAAAATTTAAAATGTCTTCTCCCAACTTTATTGCTCAAGAACAATCAGCCTTCGATTATGAGGTGTCTGAAGTTGAAAGGTGGTGGAAAAATGAACGTTTTCGTCTTATAAAACGTCCTTATACTGCCGATCAGATAGTTTCAAAGCGTGGTCTCCTTAAACAACAATATGCCTCTGATACTCAGGCTAAAAAATTGTGGTCTTTGTTAAAACGACACCAAAAAAGTAAGACTGCCTCACATACTTTTGGTGCCTTGGATCCTATCCAAGTAGCTCAAATGGCTAAGTATCTGGAAACCGTATACGTATCCGGTTGGCAATGTTCTTCTACTGCTTCCACCTCAAATGAACCAGGCCCGGATCTTGCTGATTATCCAATGGACACTGTTCCAAATAAAGTTGAACATTTATTTATGGCCCAACAATTCCATGACAGAAAACAACGTGAGGCAAGGTTTGGTCTTTCCAAAGAACAGAGAGTAAAAACATCCTTTGTTGACTATTTGCGCCCCATTATTGCTGATGCTGATACTGGTCATGGCGGTATCACTGCCGTCTTAAAACTCACTAAAATGTTCGTTGAACGCGGCGCTGCAGGAAGTAGGTTATCATTTAGTTTTGATTTTTTTCTTGTAAAGATTGCGGATAATATCAAATTGATATTTAATATCCATTCTAATTTATTAAAAATAGTTCACATTGAAGACCAAGTAAGAATTCATTTTTGTCGTTCCTTCGATATTTCATTTTAAAAGTAAGCATACATTTAATGACAATAATTATTATAAACAGTCTCCCTCTAATAAAAAGTGTGGTCATATGGGTGGAAAAGTATTAGTGCCAATTTCTGAACACATAAACCGTTTAATTGCTATCCGTGTTCAATATGATATCATGGGTGTTGAGAATATTGTTGTCTCTCGTACTGACTCTGAAGCTGCTACTCTTCTCACATCTAATATCGACTCTCGAGATCATGGATTCATTCTTGGTTCAACCAATCCTAACCTTCGTCCTCTTGTAGAAGTCATGCGAGAGGCAGAAGCAAAGGGTATCTCGGGAAGTCAGCTTTCTGCGATAGAAGAAAAATGGTTGAGTGACGCAAAATTAAAGCTTTACAATGATGCTGTTGTTGATGCTATTAAGGCATCCAACCTTATCAATAAAAATTCTTGCCTTCAAAATTGGTCGTCACAACACCAAGGACTTTCTCACTATGATGCTTCCAAATTAGCGAAGTCATTGGGCATTGATTTGTTTTGGGATTGGGATGCACCAAGATCACGTGAAGGATTATACAGATATCAAGGTGGCACAAAATGTGCTATTAATCGTGCTATAGCTTATGCTCCATATTGCGACCTGCTTTGGATGGAGACCGCAAAACCAATACGCGCTCAAGCGCAAGAATTCGCTGCAGGTGTTCACAAAGTACATCCTGAAGTTATGTTGGCTTATAATTTAAGTCCTTCATTTAACTGTAAATATTATTTATATATTTCATTTATTTTGATTGTTAATATGTAATCAATCTTTTAAAATTTTTTGTTTCCTAGGGGATGCTGCTGGTATGACGGATGAAGAAATCCGTCATTTCATTTCTGATTTAGGTAAATTGGGCTTCGTATGGCAATTCATTACGCTTGGTGGATTCCATTCGAATGCCCTTGGAGTGGATACTTTTGCTAAAGATTATAAAGCACGCGGTATGCTTGCGTATGTTGAAGGAGTTCAACGAAAAGAACGTGAACATGGTGTCGAGACCCTTCAACATCAGAACTGGTCCGGTGCAAAATATGTTGATCAGTTAATATTGACAGTTACAGGTGGTGTCAATGCAACAACTGCCATGGGTAAAGGTGTGACCGAGGATCAATTCAAAAATTAATCAGCATGATTTTGCTAATCACATATTTAAATTCACCATGTTGTTTTTTATTCTTTGTATTGTAATTTTTTAAAATTTTGATAAAATGTTTTATATATTTGTAATAAATTCTAGTGCAATAGTGAGAGACTGTTTTTCTAAGATTGAAAAGGGATTTTTGAATGCCAATATTCTACTCAAAGTCAGAAAAATTAAACTCCGTTATTATACATGATCCTATTCTGGTTGATTCTTTTCAATTTACTACTTCCAATGCCTGTTTGTTTATTATCGTGAACATACTATATGTTCCTAATCAGTATGGCCAATGCAAAATACTCTGAACAATTAATTAATCTAGCCGCCGCATTAGGAAGAAATCCTCAAGTAAATAAATATACGTTTTTGTCATATGAGTCACATTCTTGAAACATAATTTGTATTTAACATTTCATCTGACTGTTAAGAATCTTTTTTTTTTTTTGATTTTGTCAAAAGTATACTAAAAATGCAATAAAATTAAAATTTTAATAAAAAATTCTCAGAGTCATAACAAACCTCCCATATATAGTATTTTAATAAGTATTATAGTATTTTTAAAAAAATTAGATTATATATGTTTGTCATAATAACATATAAAGAATGTTTAAGCAATAAAATTTACAATTATTAAATGAAATTGAAATCGAATAATTTTGGGTTATTGTTTAATTGCTCTAATCTGATATCTTAATATTTGACTGGTTATCTAAGATAATAGGTGAATATAAAGTTTTTTTTAAAAAAATCACATAAAACTAGAGCTTCTAATGAGTCGAGTTGACTCACGAGTCAAATGAGTTGACTCGAGTTTGAGTCGAGTCGAGTCAAAAATTTTCAAGTCGAGTCAATAAATTGACTCGACTCATTTCAACTCGAGTTGACTTGAGTTGACTCACGTGAATTGATGTTATACGAATTACTATTTTGTGAATTTTGTGTAACTCATTTTTGGTGATTTTCCAATTTTTCGATAGCCAAAAATTCCTTTAAGAATTTGTGTAACTATATATATATTTGGAATCTTGTGTAACTCAATTTGGTTCAATCCCGGAATTCGAAAATATATCGATTACGAAGCTTTACTTGAATATTTTTAACACGTTTTCTTGAATATCTCAGCGTCAAGTGATCCGTTAGAAAGGGTGTGGCAGCCCTGGCTCAGTGGTTAAACTGTGAGTCTTCTATAAGCTAAAGTTTTATTACACAGCGATAGGTCATCAGTTCAAGTATCAGCCGATACATAAAATAGTATGATTTTCCATAAGGAATTTTTTTGTAACTGAAATGATGGATGTATAAACTAATATACATACAAATTTGGTTAATTGATCTGTCGATTAACGTTGATCATGTCTAAATACTGCATAGCGTTAGAACATGGGAAAGCAAATAAAGCCAGAGATCGACAGAAACTTGGCCTTCGCTAATTGGTCTGTAATTGATACAATCTCCCTTCTCATCCGGCAGGAGCCCATATTTCCGTATGTGGTCGCTGTCGAAGTGATTACATGTATAAAATAAGGAAGTGATTGACCAAACATTAGTAGATTGGGTAACAAACC